CTGGGAAGGATCTGATTCCACGCACCGTGCCTGTCCTCATGGCTGCTGGCCCCGGGCCTTGGTGGGTGGCCCATGGCTCCCTGCCCGGGGCAGCTTGTCCATGGCAGACGCCATCCACGCTCGAATGGCATCCATGCCCGCACAGGGAAGAATCTCCAGCAGGACCGAGTGACGATCTCATGTTACAGAGTCGTGGAGGTGACAGCCCACCTTCTGTTGAGGGGACCAAGTCACAGGTCCTGCCCGCACTCCAGGGGGATCTCAGGGGGACGGCGGAGGGTCTGGCAGCCACAGGATCTTCTGGGCCTCAGCTGTTCTAAGCCACAGGACAGGACTTGCTGCTGTCTCCACGGACGTCATTGCCACTTGGCCAGCCACGGCTGGCTCTGCTCCACAGGGTGCCTGGCGGGGCTGGGGCCTCTGAGGCCAGTTCCGCCTCCTATACCTGGCAGCTCAGGAGGGAGGTGCCAACAGCAGCTTGGCTAGGTCATGTCCAGCCTGGGCTGGGCTTCTTGGTCCTCCTGTGCGTGGCCTGTGAACATGGCTGTCCGGCAGGGGGCCAGACTTCTGGGGATGCAGCATGGGCTCCGGGGGAAGCCTCTAAACTCTCAAGGGCTAGCCTTGGAGGCCACACAGCCTCACTTCGGGCCACTTCACTAGTCACAGTGGCTCATGGCCCAGTCTGGAGTCCACCAACAGGAAGCGTGGACCCTGGGGACTGTGGGAAAGAGCCCCCCCCCCAGCTGGGCTGGGAGCTTGTCTGGGCAGCAAGACTTACCTTTCTGGAAATCTCCTTGTCCTCTCTGGGACTTACAGGCCAATTCTCACCCCGGCCTCTTGGATTCTCCGCTCTGGGGAGCCAGGAACCCACACTCAGTTTCCCAGTAGATCTTCTAAGTGCATCTCAGAAAATCTCAAGACCTGGACACGCTCCTGTGAGGGTCTGCGGTTAGTGTCCATCTATTTTTTTTTTTTCAAATGAGGGAGCGATTGTCAAATTACACCATTAGCATAAAATGCAGATTTTAGCACCCCCAACACTTGAAGCTAACAGAAAAAAAAAGAAAGAAAAGAAAAAGAAACTCGACATTGTGCTGCACGGCAGACGACCTCACTCAGCAGATACTTTAGAATCCTGTGATTGTTTCCCTAAAATCCAAATACGCTCCCATTATTTCAAGGATCTTATTGCAGTTGCTAACTAGGAAAGCCTTGGCGAAACGAGCCCCGTGGCTCCTTGTAAGAGCAGCGTGTCCCTTTTACTGGGGAAGAGGAGAAGCACTTCGTGGTATCTCGTGTGTCAATGTGGGTTTTTTATTATTATTATTATTATTCTTTAAGTGTCACCACTAATGTTTCCAGACTTGGGGCAGATCGTGGAGTGTGGGGGAGGCGTGTGGTGCAGGCAGTTTGGTGAGTGGCTGGGATTCTTTCCACAACTCTCAGTCCCAGCAGGTGAGTCCACTCCTGAACAATGCTGTGGATCATGATATGGATTTGAAGTCCTAGAGGCAGAGGCAAGTTAATGGCCTGGGTGCGTTCGGAGCTGGTCATCCAGCAGCGACCTCAGGGGAAGGCATCCATTTAGGAGCCCATCTAAATTCTGCTTCTAGGGCTGCGGATGTGGCTCAAGCGGTAGCGCGCTCGCCTGGCATGCGTGCAGCCCGGGTTCGATTCTCAGCACCACATACCAACAAAGATGTTGTGTCCGCCGAGAACTAAAAAATAAATATTAAAATTCTCTCTCTCTTTCTCTCTCTCCCTCTCTCACTCACTCTCTCTTTAAAAAAAAATAAAAATAAAAAAATAAATTCTGCTTCTAACACCCAACCTAGTCTTTGGGGCAGACTCACTGGGTTATATCAGTCAGGATAAACTGGGTCATGCTATGTAACAAACATCCCGGTCATCTCATTGTCTGGAACAGGGGAGGTTCATTTCTTGCTCATCTCACTTGTCCTTCGAAAATCAACAGGTGCACCTGTGCCTATTGGAGTCCCTCGGGGACCCAGCTTGAGTGACAATATCATGCTATGACATGGCTGTCTCAACATATATTCTCATAATTCCTGCCACAGAGAAAGATAGGGCTGGAGAGTTCAGTGCCACTGATGTAATGCTTGGCCAGGAAATCGTACAATTACTTTTGTTCATTTTTAATTTGGCCCAAACTAGACAAATCATCAGTCCTAAGCTCAAGAGAAAGAGGACTTGTGACCCCTGCCCCTTGCCCAGAACCCAGCAGTAGACACCTGGGTATTGAACACCAATGATGTCTACCACAAAACCTTGAAATGATGAGGGGGACAAGAGGTTTTGGGGATCTGGGATTTGGGTGCCTGACAGTGGCATCCCCTCAGATGTGAAATTTATCAGTTCTCGTTGCTATTCGTATTGTTTCTGTCCCTCTCTATATTCCACAAAGGGTATCCACACACTCTTCCTTAATCTCTTCAACAACATTTCACTGACTTTTACCACCAACCACGTCCCAAGCACTTTACCTATGTCACTCCACGGACTCTACGAGCGCTCTTTCACTGGGAATCCCATTTCACAGACAGAGCAACCGAGGCTCAGACAGGTCAAGTGACTTGCCTGAGGTCACACAGCTGTCAACAACTGTGCTTCCAGCTCTGGCTTGTTTTTCTCTTCGTGGGAGGGAGGTGGAAGAAACGCCCAGTACAGTCTCGTGAAACTAGTCACTCGAGTTAGCTGGAAAAGTTTGGATTAGAAAGGTCAAGAAGACTCAGGGAAATATTGGGTGACAATCTGTGATTCTGATGTCACCTACTTCTTCCCTTCTCCTGATGTATCTCGATGGGATGTTTCTAAACCAGGCGTCGGCACACAGCAGGGGTCGGGCTGGATTTCTGGGGACAGGGCAATGGGGGTGGGGGAGAAGAGGCCTTTGAACTGAAACTGGGCACCCCCCAATCTGAGAGGTGCAGAAGGGCCCGGGGCTGGGAGGAGGCTCTGTGGTGAGCCTCATGGGGCCAAGGCTGGAGCTGACCCCACGGGTCCCTGGGGCCTCAGCCCCGTCTGTCTCTTGCTGTGTCCAGGGGCTGCCCACCTGCCCCCTTAACCAGTGCTCCGAGGAAGGGGGTCTTCCAGGCTGGGTCCTTGAGCCCCCAGCCCTGCTGTGTGACACAACTCTCTCCAGCCTTGGAAACGTTCTTCCACGCTGTCCCCTGCAGTGTCCCTTTGGCTACTGGGCACTTGGAATATGGCGAGCTGGACCAAAGGACTCAATCTGTCCTGTCATTAAATGCAAATTAATTTACATAAAGAGACACATGGGGCGTGGCTTGGCTTGGCTTTGGGAAGCCTGGGGCGTCCCCCTCCAACTCCCCCCCCCCTCCGCAGCAGCTGGAATGACCTTGAATCACAGGGCCAGGAACGACTTCCGACTTCCATTTTCCATTGTCTCCCCAACCTTGGGATCCCAGCCAGGAGAGGGTCTCCCGCCACCGCCCCAGACCAAGCCACCGCGCCCGCGGCCTCCCCAGGTGCACAGCCTCTGGCTCACCTGTCCAGCTTCTCTCGGCTGCGTCCACCTGTCCTTATGGTCGCCATGAGTTTGTGGCAAGATGGGCGCTTTCATTTCAAAATAAAAATTCTGAAAAAAAAAAGAAAGAAAATGAGCTCACTTAAAATCACTAAACCCGTGGGGAAGGGGACGGAGGTGCCACAGATGGGACATGCATTCGGGCATGGCCCTTGAGTGGTCAGATTTCTCTCTCAACCGATGTTCCAGTTTGAAAAGTAAACTTTGAATTTTGGAAGAGCTGGAGATCTACGGAGCCGTGGCGTGTACAGAGACCCATCTCCGCACCCACGCGTGCCCCACGCTGCCCGAACGCCCGTCAAGCTAAGCAGTGACCCCTGCAGCCCTCCGTGACCTGACCGGTCAGTGGAATCTGACAGGTTTCTCCATCCATGGCCTTTCTCTGTCCCAGGTGCCCATCCGGGGCACTGCCCTCTGCACCCGATGAGCCGTCTCTCCACCTCTGCGCCACCAGGGTGCCAGGCCTGTTTGGGGAGATGAAGTCGGAGCTCCCCAGAAAGGTCCTCCCGTCCACTCAGACTTGACCCAGAGGATCTCATCCTGAACACAAGAGAGAGGCCACTAGGGTTTTGTCTGGGGGCGAGGGACCTCCATGTCCTGGGGCTGGGGGGTCACCAGGCACCAGGGACACTCATGCCCCTCACCTCCCGGTGGCTCTGAGTTGGAATCTGCGATCTGGGGCGGGTATGGCGTCCAGTTGATCAGACATGAAACATGGCCACTCCAGTCCTGAGCAGCCCAAGGGAGACAGAGTCCTGCTCAGGGTCCCCAGGATTCTCCCAATGTGCCTCCGCCCTGTATGCACCATCACCCACCCTAGCTCATGCCACCGTCCTCTCTGGCCTGAGCGGCTAGATGGATGCCAATAGCAGATGGCTGGGTGGGACCCGGAGCCCCTGGGGTCTGCCAGGTCTGTTCACACGTGTGGGCGGCTCTAAGCTCCAGAGCAACTCCATGAGGGTCCAATTGCCACCGTGCCAGTTTTAAGGGTAGGAATGGGGGCCCCACGTGGTCAGGGTGAGCTTGGTAACTCACCCCGGGTCATGGGATCCAGAGGTAAGAAGTCTGTTTTCCCACCCAGGCCACCCGGCCCCAGGGCCAGCTCCCCATGCTGCGCCAACCCTGCCCGTACCCTCGTGTTTTCTGTGTGGTCCTTCATGTCCCTTCTCCATCCATCGCCAGAGTGAGCTTGCCAAAGTGCCAAAGGCCTGTTTCTATCACCTCCCTGCACACCACCCGACCCTTCCGCGGCTACTCCTGCACTTCTGATTTGCCTACTCCTGCACTTCTGATTTGCCCTCCACGGAGACCAGGGCTTTCCTGCTGGTCCCCCTGAGGTCTCTGCTCCACTGGGTCCACCGGAGCCCTGCGGCTCCCAGGGCTGCCTCCTCCGCAGACTCCCCCTCCCCAGTTCTCTCCTCCTGAGCCTCCCACTGCCCGCGATTCTCGTCCCTTCCACTTTGTGAATGGACTGGCCTCCCCGCCTGTGAGTCATCTCCCCGCTTAGCGAACACCGAGGAGGGGCTAGGGCTGGCTCCCCTAGGTCTGGTTCCCGGGGAACCCAGCACACAGCTAGGCCCACAGGAAGGTGGAATAGCCAATTCGATTTCTGATCCCCATTTTACAGATCGGAAAACTGAGGCCACGGGAGCTCGAGCACCCAGCACAGAGTCTGCGCGGGTGGGTGTGGGTGCGCGGGTGGTTTTCTGTGCACCGGGCTTGAATGGGGATGCCCGCCAAGCTGCAGGGTTGGAAGGGTTTGGGGCAAAGAGCCAGGCGAGGACGTCAGAACCCGGGGGCTGGGCTGGGAGCGTGCAGAGGAGCTGGCGGGAGGGCGCGGAGGGGGCCATTTTTTCCCATCAATTAACGCGAGCTTCATAGGAAGGGAAAGCGCACCGCGGCCGCTGCCCTCCTAATACATCACACCTCTAATCCCCGCGCCCTGTGACCTTACCCATAATCCCCTCTCCTTTGTGCCGCTGCCCGAGCCCTTCCTGCCCCAGCCGGCCTCGCATCCCTGGTGGGGACCGAGCTGAAGAAAGAGGGTGGCCGCCGGGTGGGGGAGGAGGCGCGGCGCCTCCTCCGAGCGTCTGGGCGCAGAATCCGCGCGGCCCTGCCCGCTGCCAGCGCGCGCCTGAGAGCCGGCTGCAGGGGTCTCTTTGGAGCCTCGGGTCCCCTCCCGCCCCCGCGGCTCCCCTGCCGGAGCCGAGACACAAAGCTGGCCTGGATTATCTCCATTTCCATATGGAGGGCTGTGTAAGCCCCTTCAATGCATGGACAGGCATTTTGTTCACAACTTTGCAGCGAGCAGGAGCCGAGGCCACTGGGAAATCACCGTCGCCGCCTCACCCCGTGTGCGCGACATCAGTCAACACGGGGCCGGGCTGCGCTGCTTTGTTAATGACCGCGGCTCGGGCTGGGCCGGCCTCGCAGGGGCCGCTCCCCTGAAATTGGCTGAACTCCTGATTTTAAAGAGGGGGCCATGCGAGCCTCTGTGCGCTCTGTGTTTTGCAGGGGCTGAGAAGCCACACGGGACCTGTGTTCCTCCTGGGCCCGGGGAGCGAGGAGGAGCCCTGGGGTCAGAGCAGGCCACTCCATCCCCTGTGCACAGGGGGCCCCGGCCGGGCTTCTGATGTGCTCCCTACCACAAAGCACGTGTCCCACCCCATCCCACGCCCATCCGCAGGCCCCAACTCTATCCTGCACACACACGTGCACACACACA